TTATTATTTATTATTGACATATAATACAAAGTATATAATCAAATCTCTTCATAACCGATAATATATAGATTTACATCTGATAATGAGATCTAGCCAAAAAAGATTATATAAATATATGATCATATCGCGCCAAATTTCGGATCAAATTTTATATGGCCAATTATTATATTCATATATATTTATATATGATCTTACATAATTACATAAATCTATTTTTTCTCAGGTACGTTCAACTTATATGCACACATACGAATGATATATATATGTATATATATATATATATATATATATATACATATATATATATACGTATATTATTCGTATCATGACCATATATATATATATATATATATATATATATATATATATATATATGGCCATGATTTTTAATATTTCAATATTAGTACATTATATATCCTTATTTATCGATATATTTGAGAAAAATGCTTAAAAAAAATATTAAAATTTGTGATTTTAGAAAAAATTGATTAAGAAATATACTATATAATTTTAAAAAGAATTGAATAGTTCTAATAAAAAATTACTTTGTTTTTCTAAATACTAATGTGTGTTGATCACATTAATATAAAATGGATACTTAAATAATCATGCTATATAAATATAATTAAGTATTGCAATTTCTATAAAGAATATGCGCAATTATTCTATAGAGAATGTGCGCAACACATTATTTATTTCATTCTGTAGATGTGTTATTAGAAAATAAGAGCGGAAACTTTACGAAAAAAAACTTTATAATAAAAATATTGTTTCATTTTTGTTTCAAAGATTTTTACAATATACTTATATAAAAAATTTTAAAAGAAATATCATTTTTTATGATTTTTATACTTTTGATGATAAGAAATATATAAACTGTTTTCTTTTCAGAAATATGAGAACATTTCATTAAATAAGATTTAGCTTGAGAGAATATATGTATTCACATATATGTACATTTATACTTAATCTGTAACAATTATTATGTATATTAAAATTTTCTACATATTCCCAGTATGTATCTAAACATTTATTTCATCAATTGGTGCAACTTAAGATATTAATTCTAGCAGCAAAGAAAACAGTATTAAGATTCTAGAACCAAGACATTATGGTTAAATTTGCAGTATTAATTATTTCATATTATTTCATATCGTTTTTCAATCAAATGCTTCTTTAGAGATTCAAAGATAGAAATCACTTATTGTTAGTGTAAGGTCAAAAATATAGGGCAGATGATCTAGCACTTATCGCAGTGTCCCAACACTTCATGCATTCATCTAAATCTTATTTTACATCAAATAATTTTCTTGAATCCCTGAAAAAAACACTTTGATGGAAAGCAATATGTAATTGATGCCACAATTCTCAGCATGTCGTAATGAAAGGAAATCGTAATGCTTGGCTCCTGATTTTTCCGATGCTTTGATATACTAGTAGAAAAAATATCTGGATACATATGAGAAATATATAGAAAAGTAATATGCAATAATATATGTTACAGGATGTTGTATTAATTATAGTTATATGAATATATATGATGAGTTTTTATGATGAGTTTTGTTATCTTATTAAAATGTTTTTAATTCTTAAACGATCTTTTCACAAAAAACCAATAGGAAAAAACAACGGTAACAAAGTTACACTTTGTAAAAGTAAAAGATTTGGCGCAACGAAATAATCTATTTTTGTTTTATTATAATTATTTTTTATTGCTATAATTAATTATAAAATAAGCATGTGGCTTAAGAATATATAACCATCTATAATTACATCAAAGATGTTGACTTTATCAAAACATATTTAATGTACTCTTAGATTACTCTTTTTTGTGCAATTTTAAATCCATTTGTCACATATTTCATTAAAACATTTATATCGCTTATATTTATTGTTAGTGATACAAATAGTATATTTTTACAAAAAAAGAAGATTTCTTAGTATCAAATAAGTATATACTTTTTATTACTGCCATTAAATGACAAATGCTTATAATGATCATTAGATATACACTGGAACTTATTGGAAATAGATCATATATAGATCTAATACACTATAACGAGATTATCTTTACTTCATTAAGTTACTTAGGCCCGTAAAAAGTATCGTTTCACATGGTTCATTATTTATCATTAGACTTGCATGAATACGTCCTTTCTATGCCATTGAGAGAGGACATTGCGTCCGTAACTCTGTGTTGCGCTGTCATTACCCTTTTTTTATGTTATTTAGCACATGGAAAGGATGCAATATCTTCTTTTGAAATATATTATTATTAAGAGATTCCAGTGTAACTTTATCAATTACTTTTATATATTTTAACAAGTTTAATCTTAGTAATTGATGCGCTATAATTGTTACACTGTTATTCTAAATTTTGGTCACTTACCGCAGGTTTTGAGACAAACAAGTTACAATTTTAGTATATCTAATTGTATATACAATTATTATGTACATTTATTATATACAATTTTAGTTTTAGCTCTTATTATATAAACTACATACGCAATATATACACATTTATGCATATACTTATACATGCATACATATGCTATATATACATACATGATTAAATTATACTTTAATTCTCACATTTATTAACAGTTATTAACTTTTATTTGAAAAATTAAATATTTATTATAAGAGATTTAAAAGCTTTTACCCAGTAGGTCAAATCTGTTCAAACAGATTTTAGTAGTTGTTTGTTACAAGTATTACATTACAAGTGTTTGTTGTTACCAATAAGCTACACATTTGATACACATTTGATAAGAGCTATATTATCCATTAAGTGGAAAGATTGGCCGCAGAAACCGAACAAGATCTGTTAACATGATCTGATGTTAGATTGGCAGAAATCGGGCAGGATTTGAAAATATGACTTGACGCTAAATTAGTAAAAAACCAAACAAGATATGCATGCATGCAATATAATGGCAAATTGGTAGCAAAAATCGAACAGAATTTGTATTTTCTTATTTTTCATTAAAATAAATGTAGATCTGTATTGAAGAGCTTATAATATTTGATTTAATTCCTTTGCTTCTTGCTATGCACTTTCTATTCTTTCGTATTTAAATTTTTGTAGTAAAAATGAATATAAAGTCTACAAGGCACTAATTAATAATATAGATTAAATATTTATATTAATTTCTGATTTCTGATATAAATCGAAAATTCAGGATATTAAATTGATTGGAAAATCGACGGTAGAAATAAATAATCATTTATACTATTTGAAGTACAAAATAGAAGTTTAATTTTTATATAAATTATATATCTGGACTTTTATTAATTTAATTTAATTATTTTTATAATTATTTTATTATTTATTTAAATTGAATCGACCGTTCGTGATATGGAATATAATTGAAATATAATATACATTATATATTATATTTATCAAAGAAAAGTTACAATTAATTTATTGTTTATTCTCTTGTAATATTTATGAGCTTGTAATATTCAATTTTATTGTACTAAATATTATTATGATATTAATATAATTACTATAATATTAATGTAGCTTAATATCACTGAAATCGAATTAAATTAAGTTTTCGCATATGAATATCGATCTATGTTATTATTCTATTTAAATGGATAAGAGCTGTAAGTCCTGCTCGGTTTTTGCTGTCTACCATTAAATTGCGTATGCATTGTTCTCGCTTGATTTCTATTATCAATTTGTTGTTAAACATGTTAGTAGGCTCTGTTATCAAAACACAAGTTTAATGCGAACAGTTGATGCCAATCTACTACAAACTTTTGATTGAATTTACTGTCGATTTGTTAACAGATTGAATGCAATTTGCTTACTGGTTATACGTTTACTTAATATCAAAAATGTCTCATAAATCCATATTCATAGTTCATTCTTATATTATATTTAAAATCGTTTTAAGTAAGCTCTAAAAATGTAATACGGCCATCTTATTGGCTGGATGGAATATTAAAACGACTTAGAACCATATTTAAGTTGATCTGAAATATAGGAATGGACTATAAATACGTGCCATATAGTAATATATTACTATTTATAAATTAATATGAATTTTGTAGCAAATTTTAAAATGTCGCATATAATTTCTTAATTTTTTAAATTTAAATAAAAATATTTGTTTATACAAACTGTAAGCATACACATACATACGCACACACATACATACGCACGCACGCGCGCACGCACGTACGTACGCACGCATGCATGCACGCACGCATACACGTACGTACATACACATATATTCATTTTATACACATATCTGCGCGCTTGCAAATAATGCCATAAATTAATATTTTTACTAATAACTTTTTTATTATTTTTAATTGATTTATATTATATTATATTCTATACTTGTTTGATAATCTGTATGATATATGTATAACAATATTTTAAACAGATTATTACATATAAGATTTTTAAAATTATTATAAAATTTTTAATTATTCTTATTAACAAATATTAAGAAAGATAAGCATCATATTTTTTTTTCTGAATGTAAATAGAAATTAAACGATTTAAATTAATTAAAAATGACACACGCTCACGACACACACAAACAACATATATGCTAGAAATAATGCTGAATACAGTTTTATTTCTCATATAATGTATAAGCCTTAATTTAAAATTAAATTTATTGTTAATTAATAAGGTAATCAATGTATGAAATCAAAACACATAATCATAAGACGCGTATTTCATTACAATAAAATTTTGATCAAAAAATTTAGAAAAATATTTTAAAATAAAAGAAAATATTTATAGTTATTTTATCATTTATTATTCACAATTTATTAATTGCTTTAACTATCGCCAATTGTTAGTAATCATATGTAATTACAATTTATAACTCTGATGTTCTCTTATAAATGAAGAACGAAAATGAGAGATGATATAAATTTTTCATCTGCTCTAATGATTGCAAACATATCTCTAATATATATATATATATATATATATATATATATATATATATATATATATACATGTAAATGTATGTGTGTGTATGTGTTCATAATAGTTCAATGTAGAATCCATATAATTTTCTTCATACGTGCCGCACTCGCATCTTATGTCGGTGTAATCTGTAATAATTTATAAATTTTATTTATAAATTAAAAAATATTTTATGGAATATTTCAACTTTCGATTTTAAGGAACTTCTTTAAGTTGAGAATTAGAGCTTAAAATTAGATGTTAAAGATATTTGTTGACAAAATAGATTAGAACAATGTAACTGTTGAACTATGGATATACAAAATTCTGCAATCATTTGACAATACTTTAATAATATAATCGAAAAGTAATTATAAATAATATATAAGATAAATATTAATATCTTCATTCTACCATTAATTTTTACCTGCCTTTTAGTCTCATTTCTTTACTACCTTTCTTTTTTTATTGATTTCTCTATTGTTCTACTTAATTTTTCAATTCTTTTATGATCTTTTTTTCCCTTAGCCTCTCATCATGTACCCTTTCTTTTTTCGACTAATTTTTTTTTCTTCTTATTTCTTTTTCTTTCACTATTATTTTTTATTTGGCTTTATCCTTTTAATTGATATGTAGTTGATATTTCTATTTTAATTTTCATCTCTAGCTTTCTATTGCTTGCTAAGTCCCCGAAAGAGAAATCTCCTAAATTGTATTTTCTATTACATAATCTATAATCGATTCCGATTATATTCCGAACCTAACCAATTCTCTCAGCATGTATAAATTATATTTTTTGTCGCCTCTTTTCGCATTATTTATCATAGCCCATCTTTCCTCTTTCAGCATTTTCAATAATAATATGTCTTTTTTATTTATCATTTTATCTTTTAATCTTTTTATTTTTTTTCTTATTTGTTCGCCATCTCTAGTAATCCGCCATTCTAGTAATCTCCTTTATCCCCTTTATTCCTCTCTCTCTACCTCCCCTCTCTCTCTCTCTCTCTCTCTCTCTCCCTCTCTCTCTCCCTCTCTCTCTCTCTTTCCCATTTTTACTTTAAAATTGTTCCCTACTATTATACTATTTTACTTTAAAATTGTTCCCTACTATTATACTTTATTTCACTCTTCTTTCCTTTGCGCATGTCTCTATTTTTTTTCAAGTCTTTACGCACGAAGAACGTAAATTGTAATAATATTCTATTTCTTTTCTTCCATTCTTTGGCTTTATTGTGCCACTTCGCATACTAATTATTTTTTTATCTTTTTCACCTTCCTTTCTCCTTCATTTCCGGTGATCTTTTTAGCTTCCTGCTTTTTTAAATGCGCATTATCGCCATTATTATCTTTCTTTTTTTCCCCGCTTATTTCAATTGATTTTATGTTTCTGTTTTTCCCTTCTATTATCACTCTTTTTTTATCAATTGTTTTTCTTTATATATTTTCATTTCTCTTTATTTTTTTATTTTCTCATTTATAAGTTGCCTGATACTTATGATACAAAATATGATCTATAATTATATGTTTTTATATATATTTGCAAACTTTTTGCACGAAATAAGATAATCCCATATTGTTCAATACTTTCAGATTAAAGTCAAATAATAAAAAAGGAAAGATTTTTAAATATAGAACAATGTGCGTGGAATAAAGCCCTTTTTATGCAAAAATTCGCAATTTGCGTGCAATTATACAATATACATATTGTTTTGTTTAAGAATAGATGATGTGGAGTAAAGTTCGCTTTACGTCAAAAATTGAAAATCTATGAAATTATATAATTATTCGTTTTTGTCATGAATGGTCCAAAGTCCGTGTTTAGATATTTAGAATTCAAATCATAAATTAAATAGCTTGAAACATTTTCTTCAACTTGTGAATAATATCAACTGGACATTTTTTGTACGAAAAATTGCAAACTCATGAGCTTCTTCTTCGCTTACAAATTTTTCATTTATGACATTTTTAAATGCATTATATAAAAGTATCTCTTTTTTTCTCGATTTTGTAATAAATTACAAGACTATATAAGACTATACAAGGCTTACACAAATTAATTTCTTTCTTTTAAATAGAGTTCATGATTATAATAATTCTGATCTTAAGTAAATGCAATTAAAAATCCTAACACAAATTTTTTCACATGTGTGTATATCCTTAATTAAATTTGATCATCTATAATTCAGAAACTAGTCTTTCAGTTTTTCATGTTTTCTCAGATTTTTTAACTGATCTAATCTGCAAAATATATCGTTGAAAAAGTATTGTATGATGGTTGCAGAATATTATATATACATAGAACTCAATTTATTATGATAAAATATACAACGTATAAAATTAATACGTAATATAGTATAATGGAACTTCGAAATAGAGCACCTCAAAAGAGCACGCAACATCCTTTTCATACATGCTAGATACTCCCGAGTAGTGTAAGGAGTAACAATCCAATCGTGCAGCAACACGCAGTTCTGTGGACGCAATGCTCTCTCCCAGTGCATACTTTAAAGGATATGTTTTCAAGGATATGTTACAAGTCTCATACGGTTCTCAATTTAACGAAAGGGGAGTAACTTCGTTATAGCATGCCAAAATCCCATATGTGCGCTACTTCGAGATTCCATTGTATTAAACTTACTTATTGAGTTATTGATGAAACGCATTGAAAATTGTTAATTGTATAAATAATAATGGAAGATTAATTGACACGTAGCCAGCAGAATTATCTGAAATTAAATAAAATTATTTATTAGGATTTAATTTGTAATAATTGATTAAATATAGCAAATATATATATATATATATATATATATATATATATATATTGTTTATATAGTTTTTTAAATTATATAATAACGATTTTTTAAATTGTGTATTTTAGAAGGTATAAATATAAAGTTTAAAATAAAAAGAAAAAAAATATATAAATGTAACTTGTTCAAATCTTATGCCTCGAATTATAATAATTAAAGAAAATGTAAAAAGAGAATGATCTTTTTACTATAATTCAAATCACAGCGTAAAGCTTCGATTGTTACTGATGTAAGAAATTTTGGTTTGTGATTATACGCAGAAATTAATGTACTAACTTTTTATTTTGTATATACTTTCATTTTTTATTTGTTTATTGTGTGTTTTATGCACTAACTCTAATATTATAATTTTAATTATAATTCTAACACTATAATTGTTGCTTTCAAGCCTTTAATTTGTTCTTTTAACACTTTTTTAACAAAGATTATCCAATGTAAGTTGAAATGTATATTACAATAAATATATATTACAATAAAAGTAATATTTCCAATTGATAAATTATTAATTATTTTGCACTTATCTTGCATAATGATCTGTGCTCGGTTTTTATTGACCTATTTTTATTACTTACTTTATGAAGAGTTAAATAATTCCAATTCTATGTTAAATAGCTTCTATTTCCCATTGCTAATTAAATTTATATCATATAGAATATCCAAACTATATGTATTCACACAAATTGAGGCATTTTTAATTTGCATATCTTAAATAATTTGTAAATTATATGTTTTATAAAAAAATGTTTCATACGAAAGTTGCATAATTTCAAGAAGGTCATTATATTGGGTTGTCCGGAAAGTTCGTGCGGATTTCTCAATAGATGTCGTTCAAAGGCGAATTTTACAAGTTTATGTCGATGTGATATGTCAAATGCTTTCGTGTTTTGATTAGTGACATTTCAACGCATACTTAGTGATATTAATTATCCCAATAAATTAAAAACTTTTTACTTGACATTAGTTTAGAGATGGAAGGAAATAACGTGTTTTTTCGATGCATAATGCTTTTTTATTTCCGTAAAGGAAAGAACGCGACACAAACTCGAAAAAAAATATGTGCCGTATACGGGGAAGATGCCGTAAGTGATCGCATGTGTCAGAAGTGGTTTGCTAAATTTCGTTCAGGAGAAATGAATATTGAAGATGCTCCTCGCTCTGGTCGGCCAGTCACCACTGATGTCGACCAAATAACAGCTTTAATCGATTCCGAGCGGCAGATCACAGTTCGGGAAATCGCAGCGAGGTTAAACATTGGCAAATCAACTGTTTCCGAACATTTAAACAAGCTCCAGATGGTAAAAAAGCTTGATGTTTGGGTGCCGCACGACTTAACTGAGAAAAATCGTATTGACCGCATTTCCATCAGCGATTTGCTATACAAACGCAATGAATACGATTCATTTTTAAAACGCATCATAACAAGCGACGAAAAGTGGATAATTTATAATAATGTCGAGCGTAAAAGGTCGTGGAGCAAGCGAGGTGAACCGCCATTAACCACTTCGAAGGCAGGCTTACATCCGAAAAAGGTAATGCTCTGCATTTGGTGGAATTGGAAGGGGATAGTATATTATGAGCTACTACCGGACAACGAAACCATCGATTCGGACAAGTACTGTTCACAGTTGGATAAATTGAAGATAGAAATCGCCAAAAAGTGTCCGGAATTGATCAATAGGAAAGGCGTCGTTTTTCATCATGATAACGCCAGACCTCATGCAAGTTTGCAGATTCGCCAAAAATTATTGGCGTTTGGCTGGGATGTTTTGCCTCATCCACCGTATTCCCCCGACATTGCACCCTCGGATTTTCATTTATTTCGGTCGCTACAAAACTCAATTAATGGTTTGAACTTTGCTTCTTTGCAACTCCTCAAAAACTACTTGGACAGCTTCTTCGCCGAAAAAACCCAAGACTTCTATGAGAGAGGAATTATGAAATTACCCGAAAGATGGAAAAGTATTGTGCAAAATAATGGTGCATATATCACAGAATGAAATAACTTTTAACAACAAAATTTTTTCATTCGAATTTTGCTTAAAAATCCGCACGGACTTCAATACATAAACCATATAATATCTAGTAAAATATTCAATTTTCGATTATCTTAATACTTTTATGTACAAAATAATGAGAGGAATCAATTGGTGTGAAGAAAAAATATAGTTGTTTAAAAAAAAAATATGTAATTGTTAATTGCAAATCATTACCTCCAGATCCCCTTCAAGCCATATAACTTTTGTTTGATACATTTTTTTATTTAACGCACCGTTTCGGAGATATTTGAGCGTATTATTTAAAATGGAACACCCTGTGCATACATCTAAAACAGCCAATTTTCAATTTTTTTCCAAACTTTAGGGGCTTTTAGCTCGGAGCGAAGGTTTATTTGCAGACCCATGTTCATAAAAAAAAAAGTCTTATTTTGATCTCTAGAACACGCTCCTAAAATTTATTGCATTATTTCAGATACACCCTGTATATGTATATATATATATATATATATATATATATATATATATACAGGGTGTCCATGTGAGCATGTGCTCACTCACTTGTAAGAAGATAGAACACAGTAAATTAAATAAAGATATAAGTAAATTAAATAAAGATATCCTATTCTTTGTAACGATTTTTGTAATAACAATCGAAATATTAATTATTGAAATCGGACGAATGAGAGGAGCGCTCGAGCGCTCGAGCTATAGCACGGCCCATCGAACTTCGAACTATACCACGGGTAGCGGCGCGCTGTCCCTCCTCTCGCCGCGTGCCGGCAGGCAATGTCTGACACGGTGGGCCGTGCTATAGCTCGAGCGCTCGAGCGCTTCTCTCATTCGTCCGATTTCAATAATTAATAATGAAAGAAATTAATTGGTATAAAGAAAACACATAGTTATTTTTTTTTTAAAATATGTAGTAATATATGTTTTCTTTACAACAATTGATTTCTCTTATTATTTGTACATAAAAATATTAAGGTGATGTAACCGAAAAATGAATATTTTCCAAAATATTTTACGGTTTAGGTAAAATTAAGAAACGATTTCAAGCCCCATAACTTGGAAAGTATTTAATGAAAACTAACTTAATTATAGTATTTTGGAAAGCTCTTGAGATAAGCTACAAGAATATGTAATAAAAAATAGGCAGTTCCATTTAAAAAATTGAGGGTGACCTTCATGTAACTATTTAAGATCAAATTAATGATACCATTTTATGTCTCCTTTAAAACCATATAACTTTTGTCTGAAACATTTTTTCGTATCTCGCATATTTTTCAAAATATTTGCCCGTTAAGATTAAAATGAATCACCCTGTATATATATATATATATATATATATATATATATATATATATCAAGCGACGCGGTAGCGTCGCGACGCCAAATACATAAAAAACAGAATCCGATTATTGAGAGTCACTGCTCTCGACACGGCACTACCAAATAACTTATCCGGAATTTCACATCATATAAACTTTCGATTAAGATATTTCGGAAACTAAGATCTTAAGAAGAAATCTAAGGACACTTTTATTATATAATATGAATATAAGCTTTCGATTGCGACCTGTTTGAATAAAATCGATGCAGTCAATCCTGAGAAATGATGATCGAATATCAGAATTGTGACATTTTTCATTTTTCTCCAGGTTCAGACTCACGTACATATGCTCGCATGCACACACGCAAAGCGAGTTTGTCCCTCAAGCGGCGTCCACAGCGTGCGTATACGATTATTGCTTCGATATGTACAATGCTTTAAGAGACAAAATCATATGCGTGCATACGTCTGATATGTATATGTATGTGTGTACGTGAGAGAGATTAATTTATCGTACAGTAATAATTTTCAAAATTACCCTTTCGGGGTGGAATTTAATATCTTAGAAACGGAGCTAAAAATACGTAACTTCTGCTGTTAAATAAAATTTAAAAAAAAAGTAATTTATCGTATAATAACAATTTTCAAAAACCATCTCTTGTAAAAGCAAATTTCCAAAACCACCCCTTGAGAATGAAAAATAATATCTCGAAAATGATGCATCGTAGAAATATTGGACTCACGCCATTAATTAAGGTTTCTTAAAAAGACTAATTTAGCATATAATAATAATTTTTAAAAACTACCTGTTAGGGGTGAAATCTAATATCTCAGAAACGATGTGCCACAAAAATATAAAACCTGTACTGTTAGTTATGACTTGTAGAAAGACTAATAAGCGTATAATAACAATTTTTAAAAACCAATCCTTAGTGGTGAAATTTAATATTTTAGAAACAGAGTATCATAAAAGTATAAAACCTGTGCCGTTAGTTATGACTTGTAGAAAAACTAATTTAACGTATAATAATAATTTTTAAAACCAACCCCTTGGGGAAATCTAATATTTCAGAAACGGAGTATCATAAAAATATAAAATCTATGCCGTTAGATAAGACTTGTAAACAGACTAATTTATCGTATAATAACAATTTTTAGAAACCACCCCTTGAGGATAAAATCTTATATTTCAGAATTCGAACATCATAAAAATATAAAATCTATACTGTTAGTTATGACATATAGAAAAACTAGTTAAGCGTATAATAACAATTTTTAAAAACCACTCCTTGGGAATGAAATCTAATGTTTCAGAAACGGTGTACCACAGAAATATAAAATATATTTCTGTGGTTGCTGTCAGATAAGACTTATAGAAAGACTAATTCACTGTGCAGTAACAATTTTTAAAAATAAAAAATATCCTTAAAAATAATATGTAAATATTTTTCCACAAATATAATTTGCAGAAAGAGTATAAAATTTTACATAAAGGTGTGAAATCTTTCTATAAAAAACCTTACAAAGGTAAAAAAATACGCCAAATACATAAAAAATATTCTAGCTTGTATGCATGTTTAATAAAAGAATTCCTAAAAATAATTTACAATAATTTTCCCTCAAAAGTTATGAAAACTTGGCGTACCCGGATCGTAATCAAATACAGATTAAATATTTAATTACATAATGTCTAATATTTTACATTTTATTGGAGATATATTTGTTTATAATATAAACAATCCGGGTACGCCAAGTTTTCATAACTTACTTCGATTTAAAGACTGCAATTTAAAACTTGTGAACTTTTAGAACTTGTAGAACTTTTTTTTTAAATTATATATATTATAAAAAATGTTTTAAGATTAAAAGAATCCTAAATTAAAAGAATCCTAATTTTCATTAAATATTTTAAAAATCAATTTTCTCTGAATAAATATAAAATGCATTTTAATTTCTTAGGGAGAATTTATGTATAATATTTCTACTGTATAAAATTGATATTTTATGGTAAATATTATATCAAATTTAGAAATTGCTCTTAAGTACCTGGCTAGTAATTATTGATTTCATATTTAGTTTTGGTATTTTATTTTATAATATTTTTTTATAAAAATTATTTGTTGAGGTTTTGTTTCTTAGAAAAATGATTTTTGAGGGAAAATTACTGTAAATTATTTTGAAGGAATTTTTTTATTAAAAATGCATACAAGGAAATATTTAATAGAAATATTTAATAGAATATTTTTTATGTACTTGGCGTATTTTTTTTACCTTTATAAAGTTTTTTTAGGAGGATATATATGAACTTGATTCCATCTTTAAAAATTATATTATAAAGATGTTTAAAAAATCTTTTCTCTTACCATTATTACCAGATTCTGATTTGTCTAAGGCCTGGATTTCCATTTTACGATGCAATTTCGTTGTAGTAGTTGAAGTAGTAGTAAACGTCCCTGCACAACAAAGAAGAATATTTTATATCATATTTATTAATTTAAAATTTAAATAATTTTATAATTTTATCAATAAAGTCAAAAATATCTCAACAAATTATAAATTTAACAACTAAGAAATTAAGCTCTCATATAAAATCCAAATTTAAATTTTTCGAGCTAATAAGAACCAGACGCGGATGGCAGTACGTGGGTTTAAAAGAAAATTTGTCCATTATCTTATTCTTATTATATAGAGGATATTTCCGGACATTTGCAAACTTAAGGGGATGATTTATCGTCCCTTTAAGTTTGTTGCAAATATCAGAAACACCTTATATAACCTCAATATATATTATTATACAGGGTGATTCTGAAAGCGTGCGTCTTTAAAATATCAAATTCTTGAATGAATTCTAAGATGATTTTTCTTTTACCAAAATTTTCTATGAGGCTTAGTTTTTAAATTATTAAATAAAATAGTTTTCGAATTACGGAACGAGTACAAGAGGTAGACAGGGACGGCGCAACTCACCGTCCGATACAAGCGATCATGCGGGGCGCTCGACGCGATCAGCTGATGACACGATGAGTGTAACAATCAGTGTGTGTGTGTGTGTGTGTGTGCGCGCGCGCGCGCGCGCGTGTGGTGTATTTATGCACGCGTATCCACACATGCACCGTTCTCTCTCTCTCCCTCTTTCTCTCTCACTCTCACTCACTCACTCATTCACTTATTCTTACCTTAATACTTGACATTCTTCATACTGCTGACAAATAGCAGTGCCCAGTGTATGATAATAATCGTCGTCGACGAGACGTCGTTTCTTCAACATGCAGTCTGACACTTTTACAAATACTCGCGCACTTAATCACTTACGATTGATAAAAGGAGGAATCAACGGTTACGATACGAATTTAATAAACGGTTAACACATTTAATTATTAATTACACACTCGATTAAAGAAACGTGTTAACAGCACACACACACACACACACACACACACACACACACACACGCACGCACGCACGCACGCACGCACGCACGCACGCACGCACGCACGCACGCACGCACGCACGCACACGCACGCAAACACACACACATACACACACACACACACAGATTGTTACATTCATCGTGTGCAGCAATCAGCTGATCGCGTTGAGCGCCCCGCATGATCGCCTGTATCGGACGGTGAGTTGCGCCGTCCCTGTCTACCTCTTGTACTTGTTCCGTAATTCGAAAATTATTTTATTTAATAATTTAAAAACTAAGCCTCGTAGAAAATTTTGGTAAAGGAAAAATCGTCTTAGAATTCATTCAATAATTTGATATTTTAAAGACGCACGTTTGTTCAGAATCACTCTGTATATGATCCCAATATAGTATATTATTATATATAATCCCAATATTGTAATTTATCTAAATAAGCGATAATGCTGAAAATAAACGATAAAAATTTAATTAATACAATACATTATTTATACACAAGAAAAAAATCTGGTTACATCTATTAGAAATCTGGATTCAATCACACAGTATATCTGTTAGAAAATGGACAAATCAGAATTTCTTTAGGAATTATCAGAAGAGATGAGATTAAATTCTTCCTTTAAATTTATCAAATTTTCTTAGTAATAATATTAAATTTACAAACAAAAAATGCTATACTGTTTCTATATTTAACTAACATAACAAGAAGTTTTATAGATTCAACTACGAAATACTAATCAAATTCTTATAGTAAAGTCTACTAAAGTTCTAGTTATAAAAAATCGAGTCTTATCGTGATTAACTAGAAATTCTGCTTGGTTTAACCAAAATGCCTTCTTCTATCAGATACGTCTTGTTAATTAATCAAGTGATTTTTCTCAGTGTATTTATAAAAATAATCATCTTTATTAGATAAAATAATCTTATGTATGGTGCGCGTGTTTGTATTTATCACTAACCAATATAATAGACAGTTTTGCGAGACACATTGTATGCCGCTTTCGGTATGCTGAGTAAACATTTAACAATCGTTGCTTCCAATAAATCTTCATCCAGTAAGGCAACGCGTGATAAAATATTATATAATCCATCGTCACGCAGTCTTACGCTGGGGCTCCCAATTTGCTTCTCTAGAGTATCTCTGTAATGATGCGAATGCAATAATAAACAATTAAATCAAAATTCAATTTTCATGTCTTTTGATATTATATATATTTGATATTATATATATTATATACAATATATTATATATATTTGATATTATATATATTATATATATTATATATATATTTGATATTATATATATTATATATATTCCTTAAATAATTAAGAATAAATCTTTCTTGATCATTATAACAAATATATTTACAATTATGGACAATAATTCTATTTATTTAATTTATTTTGCTGAAACAATAATTATAAATCTATAAAATATATGTACATTTATATGTGTATACGTGCGTATGTACTTTAACAGAGTATTTTTTTAACCAAGTTAAGCTGAATAAATATTTTTTCTTCGATAAATAGTTATTGAGATAATATAAATTACAGATTAAAGAATTTAATTGAAAGACTTGTGTAAGAAATTAGCTCCATACTTTTCAAATTTCTTATTTTTATTAATTATATTGCATTGTATTATGTTTGTGCTGGTTTATGTTTTACAAATTGCAGCTCAATAAAAAAGCTCAATTCAAACCGTATTTCAAAAAATTGAAGAAGAAAAATGAAATTTGTGCTAGTCTTAAACTTTTCAAATTATAACTTTTATTTCAAAACTTTTATTTCAAAAATCTAATTCCTAATTCTTAGTCCCTACTTTCTATCTAATTGCATATCAGAAATTGGTCTAATGACATTTTATCATTAAGAAAAGTTGTATGTTTGTCTAGCATAATTTAATGCAAGTAAAAAAATTCGAAAATACTAAATTTTTTAAATTTTATTCTTTTAAATAAGTTCTTAATCAATCTTTACAATTTCCGGTTCCTTGTCAGTTTATCCTTTTTAATTATTAACACAATTTACCATTTATAGAATAAATATATTACAAAATAATTTTTTTATATATTATTATTTTTGTGTATCAATTTTTTTTAAATTAATTTTTTTTACTAAATGAAAGGAGATTTTTTAACGGCGCAATGTCGTACAAACTTGTGCTGATTTGCTAAAAAATGAGCTGAGAGTTGTTTAAGATGACTAGAAATTCGATTGAGTTACTATTTCAGTAGAGTCAATAAGAATTGGTCTTTGACAACAAGATTCAGTTGAAATAAATGAGATGTTTGATCTGAAGCTTGGGCCTGGACATTGGGTCTGGTCAAAAGTCGCGAGAATACTCACAAAATGCTGAAGCAAGATAAAACTGTATAACTGTATAGAGCTATATTGAAGAATTAAATAAATGTGTCGAATTTTCATAGAGATTTTGTTTTTCTTTTTTGGAGATATATTCTAGTTTTTTAGAGATGGGAATCTGTTCATTTTAAATTTTGTTGATGTATTAGAAGTGTTCTTATTTGATGATTGACGATTCTTGTATTTCATTAAATTTTGTTTGTTTAATAATCTGTAATTTTAATAATCAGTAATTTTAATATCGGTAATTTTAATATCTGTAATTTTAATAATCGGTAATTTTAATATCGTCTTATGATTAATAATAATTACGCAAGTTACTTATTTCCTACGGATTCTTTTGTTGATGATATTAATATTGTTATTTATATCGTTATTTATACAAGAAAAGTTAATATATTTTATATATATATATATAATATATATACAGGGTGTTCGAAAATTCAATTAACAAATTTTCAGAGATTGTAGGAAAATTTAAAAAAAAATGTCTTCTTTTAGCAATTTTTTTATTGCTGTAATTGGATTCTTGTTGTTTATTGATGATAAAAAGCTAATCAAATATTTCACTGGCAATATTATTAATTATTTACTGGCAAGTTTACTGATTATTTACTGGCAATTTTGCTGATTATTTCGCTAATTTTCTTATATATTTATTTTTTACTTCCGCAGGAAAGTTTGACAGAGATATTTTTTTATTTTTGGATGTATTGCTTCTTTTACATTAAAATTTCTATTTGTTTAGAAGAAATTAAAGGAAATTTGAATGATTATCAGTATACATTTCCATTCTATGATTATACGTTTATATATTTTATTAATGAGTTATAAAACGTGTTAGTAAATGTCTTATTATATAAGAAACTATTATGTAACTTTCTTTATCTTTTATCAACGATGGACGATTAATGTTGCAAAGAAATTATCTCTGACAAAGAAATTATCGAATCAAAAGAATATAACAAATTTAGTATTATTTAATTAAAAAATTACAAATTGACAAATAAGAGACCAAAACACGGTAACTATAATAGAACGTCAGGAAGAAGAGGAACATCTTTTTTCTTTTAGTTATCAGTAAATTTCAAAATAGTCGTTACAATATATACATTAAACACAAACGTTTCAGATTTTTTGATCCATTTTCAACGTGACATTAATATTAAGCGTTACAAAATATCTCAGATAATAACATATGAAACTATTAATCATTCCACAATCAACATGCAGATAGACTATAATGTTATATACCTCAGTAATCTGGCGAACACATTCCTGAATAATTACAACCTGAAGATGGACTAAAAAATGATCCGAAATGTTTGTGTTTAATGCATGTGTTGTAACAAATATTTTGATTAGTAATAACTAAAAGAAAAAAGAAAGTGTTTTTGTTTTTTTCCTTGCGCTCAATTACTGCGCCTTGACTCTTATTTATCAATTTTTAATTTGTTATTATTAGAATGAATTTTTAATTTTTAATATTATTTAATTTAATATTTTGCTATTTTCTTTCTTTATAGATATCTAGAATCATGATGAATATTTTTAGGATTCTTTAGAAAGATATTGTTTATATGATCAGATTTATTAGAAAAAAAGCGATAGTAAGAATTGCGACAATTGTAATGATTAAATATTGGCTAATGTGTGGATTCAGCTATTATAATGAGGTGAGGTTTATATTAAAATGGATAAGTGACATTTTGAGCAGAACTAGACATGATATGCAACTGATAAATTGCTTTTCCATAAATTCCAATATTAATTACAATATTATATGCCTTAAATTAACTTTATTCAATATTTCAATATTAATTATGTTCTCAAATTGATTTTTTTCAGAGCATGCTGTTTTTGAAACGACGAAATACATGAATAAATTTTATTCATCTTTTATGGAACATTTTCTTTATCTATAAATTTATGAAACATAATAAAATATTTCATACAAAACTATACTGATATTTCAAAATTTGATTTTATTGTTGCAATAATCTTGCTGCATTTTGCTTCATACAAAATTATACTATTATCAAAACTATACTATCAATATAATTTTTCAAGGTTTAATTTTGTTGTTGTATTATTGTTATTTTACTTTTTTTATAACGGAATGATACAAGTTACAAATTTATACATAAATTTATTATTAGAAGTTGTTCTCGTTATCGGTGGAAATAGTAGGAAGACATGTGTGTAAGAAACTGCCTCTAAATGTACGCATTCGAGACAAATACCTAATATACCGTATTAAAGTTTGTAAATTCTAGTCAAATTTCTCTAGTTATCTCGATAATTATTTATTGGAGAAAAAATTGTAAAATATTTTTGGATTCAGGCAAAATGCTGGTTAAATTAATAATGTTCCAATTTTTGTTATTTTCCTATATTAAAAAAATTAATAAAAATTAGCTACAATATTTTCAAAATTATAGTTAGAGAAAAATTTGTAAGTAAATAAATGTTGTAAACAAATAAATATTGTAAAAAAAACTATCATAAAATAATAAGTGTTTTTTCTATAAATTATTTAAAAACTTTTATAAATAATTTAATAAATACTAACTATATAATTTAAAAGATCACTTGTTTTTTTTTCTAGCAAAATTAATATTCTACTTGAAATTATATACTCTTCATAAATGTCAACATTTATTCAAAATTCCTCTAACACATCATATATCATAGTTGTACATAACATCATTAAATACATCAAAATAGTTTTTAATTACTTTAATAGTAAATTTCTTAAAACTGTGATATGGTGGAACAATTTCAAATTATAATCATATTCAGCAAAAAAACTACAATCTAAAAAATTATTCTTTTTCTTTTGTTTAAAAAAGGCTTTTTCTTGTATGTGAATTTTATATGTGAATATATAAAAAAAATAGACATTTATAAGACTTTATGTTATATCAAAATATAATAGATTACGAAAAGCACTTACTCGATAGAGTAAGTCGATAGATTCTCGATAGAGATATCTAAAGTTGGTTGGGGGTAAAGTCCTTCAGCTAGACATGTTATTTCGACTCCATCTTTGTTATCTACAGTCTTTCTCCTGTATAAAAGATCGAATTTTTCTTCTGTCGCTGCAATACAAATTAAATACGTTTATGATTAATATTTATTTATGATTAATATTTATGTATTTATGATTAATACACATATAATATTTTTGTTGAACAATAATGTACAGATTATTTTTTAAATTGCCAAAAATAGGGTTATTTAAGTATCAAATGACTGTATTTTTAAATCTCCATAATTTATATCTATCTATAAAAAGTTGCAAAGACATTAATACGTAGGAATTTTTATTGCATAATTGAATTGTAATAAATATATTTAGGAATATATGTGTATATATATATATATATATATATAGGAAATATATATATATATATACATATATATATGTATATGTATACAAGGTCCGAGTGAGCAATAAGCTATCAGAAAGAATTCTTAAAGCACTCAGATTCAAGAGTTAGACATCCGACTCTGTCTAGATGATAACATTATGATATCAATAAGTCCTCTAATGCGTCGATTTTAGAGGAAAAAAGACATCACATACAGGACATCTAAAAGAATACTTCAATCTGACTTATTATAGATGTTAAGAAAATGTTAACATTAAGACTTTCTTTATAGGTTAGGTTAGGTCTTTATAGAATTATTTATTTTAAATTCAGTTTGTTAGAAATTAAACTGATAAACAGTGATGCAAGAAGAGGATGCAGCTCAAACACACAATCAGAGAATTAGCGTCCTCTTTCTGGCACTACTGCCCGTAAGAGAAAAAAAATATACTTTGGATTTAATATTAATACTAGTTCTTTATATGTATACATTTCATGGCAAATATTGAATACCAGTCAAATTAAGAGTGACTCGCCGCCTAGCGGCAAGCAAAGAAATTAATGTAACAAGAAATTTTATAGATCCAACCAGAAAATACTAACTAAATCCTTATAGTAAAATCTATTAAACGTTCTAGTTATAAAAAATCGAGTCTTATCATGATAACTAGAAATTCTTGTTTGATTTAATCAAAATGCCTTCAATCATATACGTCTTGTTGGTACAATTAAACGTTTTCTCAGTGTAGATGTCTTTAAAGTTTCTAGTAAGCGAACTCTAAAGACATCTATAAGTAGACATCATAAAGAGCTTTTTTGAAAGACATCTTACAAAAAGATAACTTACTGATGTCATTAAAAAAAAAAAAATTAATGAAGTCTTCAAAAAGTCCTCTTAAAGACTTCTTCCTCTCAATAATGCTCACTGGGGTGTTTGTCCATATATGTTCGACCAAATATCTCGCAACTGATCGAAGTTACAAAAAAGTTTAACGAGAGAAATTTGCATGTCTCTGAGTCAACTACAAAGTGTATATAACAACTTTCTTTTACTCGTGATCTTTTCGAGTTATTGGGAAAAAAAATTTACAACCGCGGGTAGAGGGGCGCTCGTGTCGCATAACAAATATGGCTGTCACAAAGGGCGATTTGACATTTAAGAATAAACTTTTAAAAATTGTTAAGAAAACGCAAATGTTGTCACTGCGTTTAGATACTTTGTGTAGCTATACCAATACTGCAAGAAATATGATTGAAGGCCAAATTGTAATAAATTCTGGTTTAATTATCATGTGCGGTAATAAGTTACAACGGTCCAAAGTCGTGAAAAAATTTATTTATTTTCCTTGTGTCTTCATTTTTTTATTTATTCTAAATCTTCTCAATGTATTATTCACTTTTATTTCATAGAAACACATTGATTGCCGTATCTAAACAATATGTAATATAATATATATTATATCGCCCTTTGCGACGGCCATATTTTTTAGTTTGCGTTTCGTCCACTAGTGTCGCATGGTAAATTTATATTCCCAATAAATGTCAACATAGTTTTTTTTGTAGATATCTATAATCTTTTTAGCATATTTACATAATAGAAGTCATTTGCAATCAAAATCATATCAAGTAAAAAATTGCTACTACGCATCATTTACGAGATAATCGGCATCTTTAGTATCTATAAGTATTAAACTGGATTTTAAGCATTTTTGAATTTGGATTATATCCGAAAAGATGGAAAAAAGATGAAGTTACATTAAGGACATTATCTACAACTGTTCCTGAAAACGAAGAAGATTTACGACATAAGATCATTAGAGTTGTTGAAGGTATTACAACAGAAATGCTGCAGACAACAATGAGAAACGTTATAAAACGCGTCGAATGCTGTATCGAATATGGACAAAGTTTCGAACAATTTATGAGTTAATAAATGTTTTATAAAATAATTGTTTCAGTTTTTTCTATCTTTTTAAATACAATCTAAATTCAAACAAATGCTTAGAATCCAGTTTAATCCTTTCGTACCTCCAGCTTTCCCAAAAGAGATGTGTTTCATATGAAGACAGTTTTATAGGTTTTGGAGGATGCTGATTCCAAATTTACGATCAAAATTTAAATTCAAAATAGCAGATTCATAGGTGACTATGAAAAGCTTAAATATCAATATATTTAAAGTATGAACTTAGATTTCACTTTTTGAAATATATATTATGTTTTTTTCCTGAATATGCACACACACACACGTTCGATTCGTAGCGTTATTATAAACTTTTTTAGCAAGCCGCGCATCTACCGCGAGACTTAGATGCCCGTCGCACGCGTCGTCATTGATTACTCATATAAAATATTATAATATTTATCATAATAAAGTTGTAATAACATTTAAATAAAATTTTAAGTTTGTAATTAGCGTATAAATTTTATAATTTTTCGATTAATATATGGTTAATCTTCATTCTCTAAAAGTTTGTTTTTTTGCAAAGTTTAAATAATTGTATTTGTAAACGTTACACTTCAAAGTGATTCTGTCACTCGTTGACCAAATAAACACGTCCGATCGCTTCCCACATACATTCTATCATTTTTGGAGGTTTGCAACAACCCTATTTAAGGTCCATCTGTCACTGTTATTGGCACAATGGAGATATTAGTATTTACTAGAGGGATCTTGAAAGATGTGGTCACTTTTGTTGTGCTCGTCAGTGCCGTTTCTTACGGAAGGCCAGTCGGAAGTCAGTATGCAGTATACGCGAATACTTTCACCAGCACTTATTTGATCAGCGAGCGATCTTTTCAAGGATCCTCCATGAGAATCGGCATTGCATTCATCGAGCAAAATACCAACATCGCTCTGGAGTTGCATATCATTGTGTTAAAAAGTAGCATTTGGTGTGAGATCTGGATAGCTCAGTGGTCTAGAGGAATTGCGCGGAAAGCGAAAGACTCGGGTTCGATTCCCGATCCAGTCACTTGCACCTCACATATTTTTCTAGTCCACGAATATTATTTTCTAATAATTATTCCTTGGGCTGAAAAGTGTGTGAATGCTCTCTTCACAGGATATGCGCCAATGTCGTTGCAACAAATGGATTCCGTCGCTCGTTGACCAAATGGACGTATAGATACATCTGACTTCTTTCCTATCTTTTCTGGAGATAATTTTTTTTATCAAGTATCTTACCTTAATATTTTTATGTATAAAATAATGAGAGGAATCAATTGGTGTAAAGAAAACACATAATTGTTTCGAAGAAAAAATATGTAATTTGCAATTAACAATTATATATTTTTTTTTCGAAATAATTATGTGTTTTCATTAGACAAATTGATTCCTCTCATTATTTTATACATAAAAGTATTAAGGTAAGATAATCAAAAAATAAATAAATATTTTATTAGATATTTTATGATTTATGTAAAAATTAAGAAATTATTTTAAGGCTCATAACTCGAAAAGTACTCGATGAAAAAATGTTTTATTATAGTGTTTTGAAAAGCTCTCGAAGTAAGCTACAAGAGTTTTTTTTTGGCAACAGATAGCCCTGACAAATATTAAAAATATCGTACTACAATAACTTTGACATCTTTATTTTATCTAAAAAACAATTAAAAATTTACTTTTTATTTGTTCTTTTACTAAAATTTATCCCTCCCTCCCTAGCCTCCCTCTTCCTCTCATCCCTTCCCTCCCCTCCCCCTCCTCTATCTCCCTCCCCCCTCCCCCTCCCTCCCCCTCTCTCTCTCATATAAATGATTATGTATTATACATGTATTTAAAAATAAAGTTATTAATATATACTTACAGTACACTATCATTGATGCATTTGCCGTTCTTTCATCCTCAAATGTAGATATAACACATGTATACTCTCCAGTAAGGTCAATGCCTGGTTTATTTAATTTCATGGCTCGGTATTCGGTATATGGATCATCGCTGGCTTTGTATGTTAAATCGACATATTTTGCAGCTGGTTCGTCTGCTAATGGTTGTCTGCCATAAATCCATTGGTAAACTACTCGATTAGTATTAAAAAACCATTTGACGACGAGGCCCTGGCTCGATGTATTCTCCAGATCATAATCGCAGTCAAGAATAATGTAATCATTGTTGACTTTTATAATATCTGGTACGTTGATACTCTTGATAATTAGTTGCCAAGATTCTGTAAACATATGAAAACATGCTAAACATTTATCATAATGAATGTCAAGAAATTTTATTTATATTATCTAAATTGCTTTATATTATTTATAAGAAATAGATAAAGTTCTAATGATATAAATGGACATGTCGTCTAAGAATGGTATACGATGACAATTTTGTTATTATTTATCATTTTATACTAACAATTATCTAATTCCCTTTCTGCCTATGTTTATCATGTGCTCGATTGCATAGAAATATAGTAAAAATATATTTATTAAAAAAAACAAATCTTTCTCTTATTTTTTATGCTCTAAATAAAATGTCTGCGATAGTTTCTGTGTTATAATATAAAAAAATATTGTCCATTTGTTTAAATAAAAGTTAAATGATATAAAAAGATATCCTATTTTTCTCGATTTAGTAGACTTTTGTAACTTCCTAGGCACTTCAAAATTAAATGCATTATATTAATATATACATGCATTATATGAATAAGATCTGTGTTTGACGAAAACTGTGTATTTGATATATTAAATGTTTGATGTAAAAAACTTAAATATAAAAAAAAATATGTTAAAAGACAAAATAACAAATTTTTCGCTATTATTAAAAGAATAAATTAATTTTAGATTAAACAATAATCACATGATATATTGCGCTTATGTATACATTTTTAATTAAAAAAGATGTGAATGTGTATATATACATATACAGGGTGTCAGGGAATTTTTGACCTTAACGAAGTAAAAAGGTAGATTGGCTCAAATTAAGAAGGAAGGATCTCTATTGTTTTGTGATTGTCGCAATAATTAACAAAAAATTAAATAAAGAAGATCGGCCAATGCGCGTGGCTAGAAGCACACGACGGCGAAGGCAGTCTAACTGTAACATAATGGCGGCGCGCGGCGAAGCGGTGATTGGAGAGGGGAGAAGCCTTCGCCATGCGCTTACACATTCATCCCTCATCAGACCGCCTTCGCCGTCGTGTGCTGCTATCCACACGCATTGGCCGATCTTCTTTATTTAATTTTTCGTTAATTATTGCGATAATCACAAAACAATAAAGGTCCTTCCTTCTTAATTTGAGCCAATCTATCTCCTTATTTCGTTAAGGTCAAAAATTCCCTGCCACCCTGTACACACACACACGCACGCACGCACGCACGCACGCACGCACGCACGCACGCACGCACGCACGCACGCACGCACGCACGCCACGCACGCACGCACGCACGCACGCACGCACGCACGCCACGCACGCACGCACCGCACGCACGCACGCACGCACGCACGCACGCACGCACGCCACGCACGCACGCACGCCACGCACGCACGCACGCACGCACGCACGCACGCACGCACGCACGCACGCACGCACGCACGCACGCACGCACGCACGCACGCACGCACGCACGCACGCACGCACGCACGCACGCACGCACGCACGCACGCACGCACGCACGCACGCACGCACGCACGCACGCACGCACGCACGCACGCACGCACGCACGCACGCACGCACGCACGCACGCACGCACGCACGCACGCACGCACGCACGCACGCACGCACGCACGCACGCACGCACGCACGCACGCACGCACGCACGCACGCACGCACGCACGCACGCACGCACGCACGCACGCACGCACGCACGCACGCACGCACGCACGCACGCACGCACGCACGCACGCACGCACGCACGCACGCACGCACGCACGCACGCACGCACGCACGCACGCACGCACGCACGCACGCACGCACGCACGCACGCACATGGTGACTGAACACTTATCCGAAGTATGAAGGTAGATTGACTCAAATTAAGAAAAAAGATTCTGTTTTGCGATATTTGCAATAATTAACGAAAAATTAATTAAAGAAGATCTGCGAATGTGACTAGAAGTGCGCGGCGGCAAAGACGGTCTCATTGTAACATAATAGCGGCGCGCGACGAAGTGGTGATTGGAGAGGAGAGGAGTGATGAGTATGGACGTTTTCCAGCAAGTAACACAGAGGGAAACAGTGTAACACGGTAAATCATTTCATCCTTGTTTACATTCGGCAATCAACAAGGATAAAGTGATACTCTGTATGCTCTGTGTCGCTTGCTGAAAAACGCCCAATGTAGGCACATGGCAAAGGCTCCTTCCCTCCCCAATCACCGCTTCGCCGCTGCGCACTTCTAGCCACGCGCATTGGCCGATTTTCTTTAATTAATTTTTCGTTAATTACTGCAAATATCGCAAAACAGTAGAGGAGGACACACATATATAATATATATTTTTATCTATGCAAGATGTCTATACAGGAAATCTTCTTTAATTAATTTTTCGTTAATTATTGCAAATGTCGTAAAATAGTATAGGACTTCCTTCTTAATTTGAGCCAATCTACTTTCATACTTCGAAACTGCGAAAAATTTCCTGACACTTCGTATACAGGGTGTACCTAAATTCGCGATAAATATTTTAATGACAAATTCTTGTAACATTTTAAGACGAAAATTCTAATACGAAAATGTCGAGGCAATAATAATTTCAAATGAGAAAAGTTTAAACGAATGACAGGGCTAAAGTTTCGCGTACTCAGGGTTGGCAAAATGGCTAATGGTAAAGATGCTTTTTGAATCGAATGCTTTTAATATTGGTGAAATTATTGTGAAAATATTCAAAAAGTTCATTAAAAATAGTGATCTTTAAATTTTTCCCATTTGAACAGGGTGTTCTTAAATTCGCGATAAATATTTTAATGATAAATTCTTTGTAACATTTTAAAACAAAAATTCTAATACGAAAATGTCGAGGCTTTTAATACTTTTCAAATATATATATATATATTTTTGTTTTTGTTTTTATCTACTTATTAATAAATTAATTTTAGTATATTTTCTTTTTATTTTCTCTCTAGATTATACGTCATATTTCACTTTAAAATTGGATACTAGTAGTTGATAAACTGAAAGATACATAGTATGAACATATACATTGCACACATTGATTTTACTGTACATATGCTTCTTGCAGATAATAAAAATTAGATTGTTTGAGTATTCTTTAATAAATAAAACCTGAGAAATATTTATAATAATATAATAATAAATATATTTATATGTGTACACTTTCATTGTTATATAAATTTGTAACTAAGTAAAGTTTGAGATCTATCATGTATTACTTTCAATACAAAATAAGATCTATAATTTTATGATTCATGGCTTTTCAATGTAAAACGAGATCCATCCCACATTGCCGTGCTTTCAGTATGATGAGTTCTATAACTATATAATTCCATGTAAGTTTGCAATTTTTTACGCAAAATAAAATTCACTCCACATCGCTTAGTGCTTTCAATGTAACAAGATCTATAATGTATGATTTTACATGAATTATGATACTATGTTTGCTTGTGTTTACATCGGCAAAATTAAGTAAGTTTTATAATTAAGTAAGTAATAAGTTCCGATTAAAATTTTCTCAAGGTTGGTCTGTGATCTTAACAAAACATATATCAAAATCAAAATTATAGATAATAATTGCGGCAACCAAAATATTAATCTTTTAATCTTATTTTAAGTGTGCAATATAGTATGTACAATCTGTATGCAAGTAATAATTTTTTATTATGTAGATAAAGTATAGAGTATGTACGTAAAAATATATTTTATGCAAAGTATTAATATGACTTTTATTTTGTATGTACATGTGTAATAATATCATATCATAATATGTACGTACAATAATGTCATGTGTGCAATATGTATGTGCACAATAAAATCATATGTGTATCCATATATTTATTCCTATTTTATATTGCATTAAATATTTAAATAATGCTTTGTATATATATACAGGGTGGGCCATTTTAAGTGATCCACTCCAATAACTTTTTTATATTTAAATGTACAACAAAATGTTTCAAATAAAAGTTGCTTGACTTCGAGGGTGACAGAAGATGGGTGGCAAAAATTTGACCTTGGATAGTCATTTGAGGATCACATAAAGGTTACTTTCAATTTCTTAAATGGAACCCTCTATTTTTCATTGCATATTCTTGTAGCTTATCTCGAGAGCTTTCCAAAACACTATAATTAAGTACCTTTTTATTAAGTACTTTTTGAGTTATAAGGCTTGAAATAATTTCTTAATTTTACATAAACTATAAAATATCTAGTAAACCATTCATTTTTCGATTGTCTTACCTTCATACTTTTATATACAAAATAATGAAAGGAATCAATTGGTGTAAAGAAAACATACAGTTGTTTTTAAGAAAAAATATGGAATTGTTAATTGCAAATTACATATTTTTTTTTAGAAACAACTATGTGTTTTCTTTACACCAATTGATTCCTCTCATTATTTTGTACATAAAAGTATGAAGGTAAGATAATCGAAAAATGAATGGTTTACTAGATATTTTATGGTTTATGTAAAATTAAGAAATTATTTCAAGCCTTATAACTCAAAAAGTACTTAATGAAAAGGTACTTAATTATAGTGTTTTGGAAAGCTCTCGAGATAAGCTACAAGAATATGCAATGAAAAATAGGAGGTTCCATTTAAGAAATTGAAGGTAACCTTTATGTGACCTTCAAATGACTATCCAAGGTCAAATTTTTGCCACCCATCTTCTATCCCCCTCGAAGTCAAACAACTTTTATTTGAAACATTTTGTTGTACATTCAAATATAAAAAAGTTATTGGAGTGGATCATTTAAAATGGCCCACCCTGTATATGTATATATATATATATATATATATTAACTAATTGTTCTGTTCTCGATCAAAGTTATCGACAAAATAATGTATAACGTAATGCAAATGAAGTGGTTAGCAATAGAAATTATAGAAACTTTCTCTTTTATTGCATTGTAATACATAAGTGTGTAACAATTAAAAAATATAGCTTATACATAAAATAAAATTAAAAGTAATGAAATTTTAAGATTTTTAAATCATATTAATATCCAGTACGAAAACTCCTTAGGAGAGATATTTCTTTAAAAAATTATAAATTCTTAAGCTG